TGCCGCAGCATACTAATGTCGCGACATTATCATGGGTGTGATGTTACGTGCTTTACCCAGACCGATCAAATCGGTGTCCTCGAGATGAGACACGTAACGCATTGACCTCTCAGTGTCGGTATGGGCGGAAGCTTGCCTCGACTGTGTCCGCAGAGGGGCTGGAAAGCGTCACTGCTCGACCGCAGTGTTGTGGTGGATTGGGTTTCTTTAGTACATAAAGTAAATGAAGAAGCGTCCTATTGCATGATGCAGGTGTGGTTACCGTGCATGATGTCAACGACATGATGCATGACCATGCATGATGTCAACGACATGATGCATGACCATGCATGATGTCAACGACAAAGGCATAACTCTCAGCGGGCAACCTGCATTGTGCGATATACACTCACCATTGGTTCTTAAAGGAACTGTTCAATATTTATATGGGGTTTTGAACTGAAATGGCCATCTTTAACACACGCCCGGGTGGCCGGCTGGATACCCTTCGCCCGAGTGGTGGGTCAATTTGACTCCAACGAGATCTCGGAAACTAAAAAAGCTAGAGACACCAAATTCACAGAGTGTGTTGACCTGCACGTGAACTCACTTAGGTCAAAGTTTGAGGTTCCTAGATCATGACCTTCGGTTCAAATATAGTCAAACACGGTCAAATTCCAGGCTGGTCTCCAAAGTGCCCCCATAACCTAGATAACAGTTTCTAAGCAAAAGGTCCCATACTCATTTAAGGTTGGTGACCGTGTTTAACCTTTTGAAGGTCGAGGTAAATAAACGACAAAGATTACGCTAGGCAGTATGTTCCTAAAAACAAAATGTTGACCAGGGCCATTTCAGATCAATGACCTATTGTGACCTCTAAAAAGTCTATAGAAGGTGTAGAATACGGTTCCTACTACCGATAGATTCGAAATGAGCACCAGAAACTATCCTATACAGCAAGCCCTAGAGTAATAAAACAGGTTGGTTTTGACAGTGATCTGGTCTTCACACCCGATCTTAGGTCAATGCGATTTGCTTATTCTTTTGTTGTGTTGCCTAAGGAAGCATCTCAGAGATGTATGGCTTCGTCTAACACTCCATTGTTGTATCAGATTGAACAATTTTCTGAAAGTTGACTTCGCTGAAACCATGGCCTGACCTTGACCTGCCATAGGTCAATGACTTTATAAGGTGCATCTACATTTTTAACACCAAACGAACTGCGATTCAATTGTCTATAGCTATGCACAATTTGGCGCGTCAACGCCGCGCCGTTTGGAAACCATTCGGGAAAAACCTTTGGGGGTGTTCAATTTGACCCTCCCCCCGTCCGAGCGCCTTAAGACCTTTCGTTGATCCTCGCAATCCTGTCCTTCTTAAGACCCATCTGGTCTCTGACCACAGCCCCGCGAAAATGGGGAGCGGTATACCGAGGGGAGTATTTCAAAGTCACCTTGGCATTCATGGCGTCATAATAACGTCATTCAAATCATGCCATGCCAGAATCCATGCGGTGATCAAGGCCAGGAAAAATACAGCTGTTGAGGTGTTCATATCCAGCATTCGTTAGCGCAATTTCCGGATATAACGACCACTAGTTGGCTTTCAATCAATGTCGTGCAACGTGGGTTGACGTAATCGAGCCATGTCGCATTGGGGAGCACATTTACCAAGCAGAGAGTTGTGCTGTCTGGAATAGTCTTTTCCACTTAAAAAGTATCCCAATAGTTAAAAGTGAGCTTGTTTCATCCTATTTGGTGTTTCATTATCGTCCTATTTTCTGTGCCTGCTTCATATCTTCAGATGTTGAACATTCCCTTTTAATACTTCACGCAGAGTGACAACAATGTCAAGAGAGACGCTAAAATGATGTCATTTTCACGCGGAGGCATCTGTCAAATGCATGACTGCCTGGTTTCTCCTTTGTGAAAATCGCCGGGGTCGGCATCCGGTCTGGACTGGTGTACTTCAACTTCGTCGCGAACTGAACATTTTACAAGTTGCCTGCTGAATGGCGCGGGCAAAATGGTGATATTGTAATGATCCAGGAAAAACCGCCTGAGCAAAAATCTTCTTTGATGTGGCAGACAATTAAACAGGACGCTTTGTACAGAATTACGCTCTTGTGTTGCTGAAAGCTCATGAGTCTGCAGTCTGCGTATGCCGAAGAGTTAGCCTCCAGACAGTGCGACGGTCGGGCCAGACTGCACCGCTCAAACTCAGCCATTTCTCGGAGTTCGCGTGAGAGTTTCCCAGTCGGCATCCTAGTTCGTCATCGGCCTACAACCGTTACCCATGTCAGACTCTGAACCGCAAATGGTCCTTTATCGAGATCTCCAACAGCCACCCGTTATCTAGTGCTCAGCAATGCATCTTACACCTTGAATTTCTTTCTGATGACCCGGATGACCCGGACGGAAATCACACGGATTTATATATATCCCGAGTCTAAATCTATGGACCCCTGCCTTGCAGGTTTGCTCCCCAATAGCAATCGACAATCTTGTGACGATAACTTAGCGCCGGCCGACTAGATTCGATCGCTGTAAAGTGCTTCTGAAGACGCACCGATGGAAGAGCGGTCATATCAGTGCCGTAAAACCACCAGCAGGGCTGAGTGGATTCTCGTCCAGCGAAGGCAGCTTTGCATGGTAATTTACCCAGAACAAGGAGGGAAGTTACGATTTGCGACACAGTTCGGCAGTGCCGCTGACGTCACTTTATTGACTTCCGTGGCGCGGGTCAATAGGACTGTGCCATGATGTAGGGATTCATGTGTTGAAGACACACACGCATATATATATATATATATATATATATATATATATATATATATATATATATATATATATCATTGAAAACTCACCATTTTTTACTATATTACATGGCCCAGTTTTTCAATAGGTCCATGCTATTCGACTCACTGGCACGCACAAGAATGTTGCTCAGTCCATCTTATGCGTAAACAAAACTGGCCTGTATCTCCTTTGAGATAGAACAGGTGGTTTTATAATAACAATTACCGCGCGGCACTGAAGTATGTTGAACAAGTTGCAATATTTCGGTTGGTCTCCACTTGCTAGGGATGGCAAAAAGTATGTTTGATTTTGTGATGGCACTCAGTCCACAAAGATGATATGCGAGACTTACATTGGCCCAATGCCTCTAAATGCCCAGCATCTTGCTCAGACATTCACATATTCGATGTAAGTAAGTTGTAATAGCCCAGTCTGCATCGAAATAAATCAATTGACAGTTTTTCGTACATTGAAACTGAGCGGAAATCATCACTAAATCCTACTGCGATCCCCGCAGTTTGACGTCATCAACCAGGTTTGCGGCTCCATGCCGCTGTCGGTCCTCATGGAGCGAAGAGCAAACTCTCTGTCCAGCAGCATATCTCCACTCTTTCCTTGCGTGACGACCACTTACAAGGGCATTTAATTTTCAGACTGTCATTATTGTGCGTATCGACAAGAGTGCACCGGCAGCATGAAAACAGCATGCAACTGCGATCGGAGAGGAGGTGACACTTAATTCGTCAAATGTATTTCGGAAAATGCAATAACTTGCGAAGGACATCGTTGCAAATGATCCGACAGCTGTAGAGCCTCAGCTACCTCGGCTTGTTTTTGTCAGAGCAGCGAGTTAAGCCAGCGACTGCAATCCTGGACGCGTTCTGTAGCATCGGCCACCCAGTCGGGAATGTTCACCGTGCTGTACCGGCGTCAAACACCGCCGGCCGCCGTCCTCCGGACATCCGCCAATTAATTCATAATCAGTCAGTGATTGCAGGCGATGTAAATCGGGCTGAGCGCCCCCGGCACGCCGCCACTGATGGTTCTCTGGGAGCTGAAGCATGGCGGGGTAACTGTACCAGACAACGCCGCCGGCCGGCTACAGACCCGTGTGACAAACTGAGGCTTGAGCACAGTAGGGTGATGTCAGTCGCCGACGGCGGAGAAATGGTGCCGGGTGTCTCGCGGGCGAGAGAAAAATGAGTCTTTGTTGCTTCCAGGCGTGGGACTGTAGCACTCACAACACACACACACACACACACACACGCACACACACACACACACACACACACACACACACACACACACACACACACACACACACACACACACACACACACACACACACACACACACACACACACACACACACACACACACACACACACACACACACACACACACACACACAACACACACACACACACACACACACACACACACACACACACACACACACGCTCACTCTTCTCTCTCCTCTCTCTCTCCCTCTCTCTCTCTCTCTCTCTCTCTCTCTCTCTCTCTCTCTCTCTCTCTCTCTCTCTCTCTCTCTCTCTCTCTCTCTCTCTCTCTCTCTCTCTCTCTCTCTCTCTCTCCTCTCTCTCTCTCTCTCTCTCTCTCTCTCTCTCTCTCTCTCTCTCTCTCTCTCTCTCTCTCTCTCTCTCTCTCTCTCTCTCTCTCTCTCTCTCTCTCTCTCTCTCTCTCTCTCACTCTCTTTCTCGGTCTATAACTCACATCTGTTATCGCTTTGCTCGTCCCACATTGCAAGAGGCATATTGTTTATCATGATTCATCGAACATTCGAATGCACACGGGTCTGAACGACACGCCTGTATAAAACTCGTGACACCGGCGTAACATGCACAAACGTTTGTGAGAAGTGTAAGCAGTCATTGATGACATTTCACGCAACAATTTTCTCTTTGACTCCATGCACACAACGAGGTTCACAAATATCCGTTTGCGCATATGCCTGACCGGCACCTGTTGATTCTCGACCTTGTGCTCTGTGGGTCACAGTGTCTTTCTTACATTCGGCAGCGGCTAGGGCTGCCGATCAGCCGGCACCACGGAACGGTGTGGTGCCTTCGTGCCATCCAGCCAGGCAGTTGGCCTTGGAAGTCGCCTGCCGACCAAACCACGATGACAGAGTTACCAGGATGTTGGCAGACTGCGCAGTGCGGCCTGCGGTAACAAAATCCGTCTGCGGGCCGCCAGCAGCCGCCCGTGACTACGGGTCAGTCGGCCACCATGATCGCGTTCGCGTGCGCCATCTGCCTCCTCCTGCAGGTGAGCTGGACCCAGCTGAGGACCCCTCGAGCAGTGCGTGCTGATTCGGTCACAGAATCCCTTCATTACCAGCGTCGGCTCAGAATACTCCACTACCAGCGTCCTGTGGTCTTCATAGCGCTTTGGGACCTCGGAGTATCCCACATCGCGTGATACATGACCGTTTTAGACAGGTAACACCGGACGTTGGCTGCGTAGTACTCACTTATTAACACATGTTTGACAAGATCAAATGAGCAAAAGCCGTGGTCGGCGGAATATTTGATGACTTCTGGCCATATTGTATAATTACGATTGTTTTTCTTTAAATATCACATAGATGGGCACTGCGGTCACGGGAGTCATGCATAAAATGTATTGTTTTCGTCTTTGGGGCTTTATGACGCACCCAGCAGCTGAGGCTAGTGGCACCGTATTCCCCTCACCCTGCCCGGAAAGGCGGGCACCGCTGTGATTTGAACCCCGTATCCTTGGTTCTTCAACCGCACAGCTTAACTACCTCACTACCGACCCCTCCCCAACAGGACATCTCAGAGGTGGCCTTAGATTTGTGCGTTTCAACAGCTAAGAACACTTTTATAAGCTGGGAGACATATAGAAGTTGAATGTATATTTGTTTGCGGAAGATTAGGCTTCTTTTCAGGGACACCTCAGACATCACGTATGTTGTGAAATTACGTAAGCTGTGATTTGCATTTGTAAGGAACATCATGCATATAGATGAGACCATAGTAATAGGCTCATGCCTGGTAGAATTTATAGGGGATTGGAGAGATGGATGTGACATTTCGTCTATAAGCCTTTATCGAAACGACTCAAGTTTTTATTTATTTAGCAATTCATTTATTCGTTTCGATAAAGGCATGTAACGGCAATGTTACATATTTTCTCTGTCTTCCTGTTAATTATACGAGGAATCAGGCCAGTGATACCGTCTCATCAATCATGTGAAATAGTTTTATGGTGTCACGTTGCACTTGCCTAGGACGCCGATAGATGGCAGTGTACGATACCGTTTCGTACGTTTGTTTAATCATTTGTCAGGCTTCAGCCCTGCTGACGAGGCATCTAGAACACACCATGTATTGTTGATCGCTTGCAATAATGACCACGTCCATAATAAGACGTTATTTCCTTACATATTTCCTTACATTTCCTTACCTTACTTACGGTCTTAATGAGGCATTATTTCCTGCGCGTCGTGCAGCGGACAATGTCGAAGCACTGACGGCTGAGACGCCTGACAGATCTGTTCCGTGCATTCCAGGTGTTGGGCCGGACGTGTGGCGCGCCGCCACCCGGGGGGGCCGACCTGGACTCGGCCGCGACTCCGGCTCTGAAGCGACCGCCACCCTGGGGGCCTGGCGGGGTGGTGCCACTCCGCTGCCCACCCGGTCTGCTTCCCTGCGGCCCCCACTGCTGTGTCGCTATCCCGCGCAGCGTCACCTGCCCCCACGGGACCGAGGTGACCGGACTATGCTTGACTTTCGATTGAGCCGCGGGACCCTCGCAGAGCCCAGGAGCGGCGGGGTGGCAGTCGAGGCAGCGGCGCAGAAAATGCCGCAAACGCTCACGCCTGGTGGTGCGTGCAAGGCGCCGGTCCAATGCGGGAACGACGCACTAGGGCCGCAGTGCATGCGCAAAGACGTCTAACTACGGCGCTAGCTTACAGATGGTCGTGAAGAATACACGAGTATCCACATCTCGCGTCTTCGTCAGTCGGTTTTACCAGGCTCGTCACGATGGGCCCTCTCAGGCTCATGGCTCCCGATTGTCGTTGGCCGCGGCGGCTGCCTGCACATGCCCGGATGCGTCGGTACTTTTTGGAAAGCTTACTCCATTAACCTATGAACTGGAAATGATATGGTTCATATAGTCAGCAGAACCTTAATAGCGATATTAGTGCTAGGACAAGCTAGTGCCACTAGTCGCATTCCTGAGGTACATTCCTGTGAACAACGTTGGCTATCCAACCAAGCATCAAAGAGGAAACGGCTGTATAGAATGAGGTGTGGTCGCTTTAATCGGACTGCGGGAATTCTCCAACGCGTTCTGCTGCTTTTGCAATGTCTAGAAAAGGGGTAAGGCATATGTCCCTCAGTGAAATAGCATAATAATGATCAGGACGAATATTTCCCGTCGGCTTGGTAATGCCTGTTTCAAAACGGGTACATGAAATGTGTACTTTGTATGAAATGCCGAGCTTTGTTTCAAGATATGCCCGATTACGCGAACCGCAAACGGCGGGTATAGGGCGGGGATTACCACCACTACTTTGCACATTTTTTAAGTAATGCATTTGTTTTTTCACCCTGCACAGATGTGCAGTATGCGCACGTGCTAGAGACGCAACTGTTCAACCCGCCAACCCGCCGACCCGCTGACAACAGCGAGTGCTAGTTAAGGGCCGCAATCAAGCTTGCGCCGGTTATAATTGATATATGCGGCTCGCTTTCTTAGCAACGTTGCTTAACCAGTGTGCTCCTCGGGTACAGTAGATACAGCTTAATATTTATAGAACTCCAAACTCACCTTGTCAAAAAGCCAGGAACTCAAGGCCTTCCGTTCCAATAAGGAACTATATACACATATATATATATATATATATATATATATATATATATATATATATATATATAATTCACCACTACCATGTCATATCGTATCACAACTTAGACAGATATCAAGACGCATGCCTCCACAGGATTGGCTGTGAGACAGTTACACTTTTTGCTTTTGGGAAGCGATGATTGACTTGTCTTTTTCATGCGGTATAAATGGTATTGAGTATTTGTGGAAGCCGTCTGCTTTGTCTGAGTCACGGACACGCTCATGCCGGACCATATACCGAGTCTGGCACATTTTTGAACTCCATCAAACGATTTCGACACCATTAACCCTCGGCTTGGTTTGCCCTTTTTCATAACGTGGATTGATAGGGGAGGGGGGGGGGGGCTGATACGACCCCTTAACATTGCCAGATCAATGGAGGAAGAGCCTAGCAAAAAAAAAAACACCAATGGATTGTCTTCAACCACATTCAGCGATTGATATCAGTTTTGACGCTGTTAGATCCATAGGTGACCCCATTATTGCAGGTAAAAGGACAAACTATGCAGAAAATCGCACTTTTTCAGCTTTACACACCATACTTAAGAGACCATATCTTGTGATGGCACAAGACTTAACAGACGTGTTTGTTGTTAAATTCAGGGTACAGTTGTGTTGATGTTTGGGTGTTTTGAGCCTTTAAGTATTGTATATGGCTCAGTTAATGTAACAAGTTCCTTCTCGGCAGCGCATAAGTCTGCAATAATGGCAAAAAAGAAGTGGTTTCAGTGATTTCTTATCATTAATTTTTTTGACATGCAAAAAAAAATTATTAATGACATGCAAAAAATGAGTGTGAGAGATCCCTGACTGAAGAGACTGAAGAACACCAAAACAACGTTCTCTCTCAGAATAAACCTCGTACGAACACTTCCCATCACATCAATACCAATACAAGTCACTGGCGCACACCACTAGTGATCACAAGCATTTCGAGCCCCCGATTCATACTCATGCATCAAATAAGTGTGATCTCACGTTTGCACAGCTCGCGGGACTATCAAATCGCAGGCTTTCTCACAATTCCGCAGAGATCTTCAGTCACAACATCGAACTCCACCGTGACATCCCTTCGAAAGGAAGTCCTAATGACTGTACCACATGTTCATGGTAATGCGGCTCAAGAGGCTCTTCTTGTAAAACACAATTTCTTGTTCAAGATTTAAATTTGTCGCATCATATGTGTGAAATATTTAGAGAAATATGTATGTAAAATTACTGTAGCGTTTCCCTAATTTCATAATGACTCGCTAACTCAGAAACCCGTGAAAGATTTGTGCTCCGGTACACAAGGCGCCAACCGAGCTGTCTGTAAGGGATACGATAGTAGAAGAAAAAAACGCCAGCAGGAGAAAAAAGACAGATTTGCCATCGCGTCTTCTTTTTTATATCTTCTGGAGAGTGCCCATGTCTTGGGTGCCATACTTTTTTGCAGACAATGGGGCTCTTTTTTATAACACTGACCTGTGGCGTAGAAATAAGGAAAAATGAACCGTTCACGAGAAATGTCGCAGAACCCGAAATTGCTCACGCTTGTGTACGTGACACGCATTCGGCAGTAAAATCTTACTAACAGCCAATCATCTTCCGTGGACTGTACCACATGTGCCTTTGCGAATGTAGCAGTGGCCATGCTGTCTTGACCATAAACAAAAAACAGCCTGTAATATTACGGGATCTAATGACGTTTGTATGGTGTCATTAATCAGACGGAGATTTTTTAATGGGCTCTAAATAAGGCTTGTAACTGGCGGCGGGTAACTCAGGAATCAGAGCGTTTAGGGTCTTAAAAAGGGCATATCCGTAAACTGAATCTAAATGTCCTCAAGGTGGCTATTTCAGTTCAAAACACCATGCAAATGTAGAGCATTCCCGTTAATATGGTATGATGAGTTAACGGCTTCAGTTATCCGGTCGATTTCTTACGCTGCAGAGGCAGCGCAGAAAGCACGGGGAGCAAATTCAAAAACTGAAATACAATGACTATTCAATAACTTGGCAGACAGTGGAGTGTGCCCACAAATGACCCACAAACCTTTTCTCCACACAACAGTGCTGAAAAGCAGCTAGGCCACTAAAACATTTTCTTCCCTGTTAGTGTTGTAATGTGTGCAACTTCACCGCAATCGAAATGTCGTAACTAGATTGTTAAATAGAACTCTAAATGGTGAGAGCGTTTCATTCTCCTTTAATGAATGGCAGGCATGAAGATGAGTTCCCCACCCTCGTGGGCAAGTATATGCTTTACTGACCTCTGTGGGTCATGACCCTCATAGGATGAGACTTAGGTAATGTTAAATTCGTTTCATGGTCTTTTACCCTGTCTTGCAGCTGCTTCATTCACGACTGATGTTTTTCAAGGTGCTTAAGAGCTTGGTATTATGTTTGCTTTTTGTGTCTATGTTGTCTTCCAAATGTTTCGATCAGTAGTTCAGGGAATTGCCTAACCTACAAGTGATCTAAGCTACCGTTTTGAATTAAATTGAACTGCACAATTTAACGGAGACTCATCTACGACCGCATCGATGTAGATACGTTTCTAATCTATGGTACATAAATGTGAAAATCGTCCATATCACGGTCGGTGGCGCAGACCGTCTTTTGACCGGTCTTAGGTCACTCGCCTCGATTGTGCTTCGCTCAGAACAGCCGCCAGATTTAGGTCACCCGTCCCCATCGTCTTTCGCTTAGAACTGCAGCCAGATTTTGTCAATCGCCCCGATGGTGTTTCGTTCAGAACTATTGCCACTCATGCCGATTGTGCTTCGCTCAGAACTGTCACCGCTCATTCCGATGGTGCTTCGCTCAGATTTGGCACCACTCGTCCCATGGTTTTCGCTCAGAACTGCCTCCAGATTTAGCACCAATAGATTGGGGCTTCGTGACTTGGCATTAAGGAAGTGATACATGGAAAAGTGTTGCCATAGGTATTGGTTGCTTCACCCCAACAATTTAAAGCTTTTGACAGTATGCTGCAAGGGCGTATGGCGCACTCGTTTGCGGAAGTGCTGCCAAGGTATGTGCATAATTATATCCCTATTACTGCTATCCGAATGTAAGGACACCTTCCCAAGTTTAAATAGCTGATCAATGGATAACAAGACGTACACAAAATGTACCCCAATGCAATGGTGAGCAAAAACTGCACCATACGTCACCTACGGCCACTGTGCCAAATCGCCTGAGCAAAAGCTACCACGGATGTAAAAATGTGATCGTCGAATTGCCAAAGGAAAGTATTGTCGGGTTTATTCCAATCTATCTGTGAATTGGAGACAAAAACTACGCAAGTCCAGAACTGAGAGCCTCACATCGCTCGTAGAAAATGTCACTTTCACCCAATACCTTTAATATCTTTTAACATTTGTTCTTATATTTCACCAAATATCTTTTAGTATTTTGACATCCGGCCTACGGTACTGCATCGTTGAGCTGTTACTGATTTGCGTCACTGTCACGGCCCCAATCGTCGTCGAGTGGTTAGTGTATACTCTCAGCAACGTACTTCTCCCATATCTTTCAACAAAAGGCACATAGTGCGAACTAAAGACAGTTGTTCAAGGCTGCCGTCAACAATGTACGGGAAAAGAAGCGGGTATGGCTCGCCCGGAGTCCTTAAATCACCATCTTCCGAGCCCCACTGGGGAGGGTGCAGAATAGAGACGAGGCGAGCCCACAAAACAGCCGCAACAGCGGCTGCTTCCCAGACGAGCCCGCTGCCTGTAATTCCAGCGATGGCCATTATCGCTCCCAGAGGCCACGTTGGAACAAACCCAATCCTACTCTCCCGCCGCCAAATTTGGCCGCGATCGTCAGCCGAGCGTTACCATGGCGTGCAGCCGAAAAGAAGCTATTGTGGTTGCGAATGTGGGTTTTGCAGTCCTTCTAATGATCCCGCGGGGTAACAACGTCGTACTATGTCCGACAGTCAGCGCGACGCTAGCAGCCACACCTACATGTCAGAGCGCGGGTGCGATGGCTAGCGTTTCTGCGAAGTGCTGTCATATACAGTGCAGCAGTCCAGAGAGCTGCAACACAGCTGGCGCAGCGGTGCTCTTCCGTACTCAAGGTCTTAGAACAGAAGGTAAAACC